GGGGGGGGGGGAAATATTGATTGGCTATGATGGCTTATCTCAGCTGCAGCGAACCCAAAGCAATAAGTTCGCCATTGTAAGTTGGAATTGCACACTTAAAGCACTTGCAGCACTTAAAGTATTAATACATTTTTATGTATTAATAGCTGGGAATAAAGATACGGTCTTAAAATGAATAAAACACATTTTAGTGAAAGTCAAGAATTAAAAAATATTAACAGTTTAATAATTATTTACAGAATATAAATGTATAAAAATTTGCGTATGGCTTCCGATGATTTACCAACAGGGCCTCAACTCATGTCATCTTCTAGCTATTAAATGCGTGTCTTGTTCGGAAAAAGTTTACAAACAATGGTTTCCCTAAGTTGTACTTATCTGCGAAGGCTTTGCTGGAAAAATTCGTCCGAAGAGAACCGTCTTCCCTGAGGAAAGAAAATTTTAAAAGTTACAATAATGTAATGATTTGATACTGTACCTAACGAATGGGCGGTTAAATTTATTGATACTTTGAAAAAGAGTAGATAGGAATGCGGGGGCGGCTTGCGTAATCCTATAATCATTTGCCATAATCTCACGTACCTAATTTGAGCTTTTAATAAAACGAGAAGAAACTCCATTAAACGTATACCAGACAATTGATTGGACGGGCTTAACTGAAACCGGGCTTTTTAGATCAGACGTTGTCTAATTTCCTATGATTATATAGTTGTCAAACAAAGAACTAAGCGACACTGAAACTTAAAATGTTGTGCGTGTGTATTTTATAACCTGGGACAAATTCACTGAGAGTTCAAAGGCGTTAAGTACTTTAGTTCTCTGTTAAAAAATAAAACAAGAGAAGATTTGAGGCAACGTTTGATGCAGTTTGACTGATTTCAGTTTAATCTGTCCTATTCTTCAACAAAAAAGTAACATGATCAAAATTTGAGTTAAATTTGAGTATAAGAGCAAATAAAAATTGAAAGTTCACAGAGCGGTACACCAACATAATCAAAATTACAGCTCGTCAGTCCGAGGTTTGTGCTACAACTAAAAATGTAAAGCATATACAATGCACGCACTGTTGAATAACACTTCAACACTGTCAAAATCGCAGATATAAAGGCATACTTTGAGGGAAAACTATTGTTTGAATAATTTTTTTTTTTTTTTTTTTTTTTTTNAATCAGATTTCCGAGGCTAGCGAATTTTCCATTTACCCACTCTACCTGAAGGTAAATTGGTCAAAATTACAGAAGTGTATATCGTTCACACAGAATTTAACAAAAATCTTATCAGAATAAACTAAACCGAACCAAAATGTTGAATTAAAACATTTTTTTCTGTTTGATGCCTCGGATAATACAGGAAAAGTAGAAAAACTTCATGAAGTATATGTATATCGCACGAAAAATATCGCGCCAATCGATTTCGTGACATTACAAGGACCGTTAACCGCCGTGATCCTTTCACCTGCGATTGAACGTATTTATTCCGGTCGTACACAAATACATTAAATGCCATAAAATGCACGGTGATGGAAACCATGGGACGTCACCCTTTATGACGTCATAAGGAGAACGCCTTTGAAAAACGGTTTTCTCTTCACCACAACTTTAAGCTCCTTTTTGTCACTCATAAAACCTTTTTAGAGCCTCTTTAAGCTCGGGAGCGTGTTTCTCCCAAAAATTAACGTGGGTCAAACCTTTTTATTAAGTGCGGCTATGTCTTACCGCTGTTTTGTCGGGCTTTGTCGACTGGAATGAACGACAAACTAAAGGCACCTCTTGAGTTTTCGACAGCACGTCGTCCATTCCAATCGACAAAGTACGAAAAAGCAGCGATAAAACATAGCCGACCAATCGCGCTTCGCCATTTAACCTATTCCATCCATGTCCACCCGACAAACACAAAATTTCAACAATCAGGCTACAGGATCATGCAAATAGCTCCATTCTTAGCTTACCGTGCAAACAATAGTAGGGACATCGTAAACACAGTCAGGTATAATTTCATGACGAAGGAGGTCAGCAGTAAGCTCCCCTCGCGGCTTGTATATGTCGCTGATTCGTGTTGTTGCTTCGTGTATCGTAGAAGCGGCAGTGACGTCTGCGTGATCATCGAGGGCCCGACAAATAGCGCACATGATTAATAAAACTACGACAAAGAACACTACGCTCATCCGCGGTAGTCCCCATTCCAAAAACATTCCCTGAAATTCAGATCATATTTCAGCATCACTCGATAAAACATTCACGATTATTTTCTGAGAAGGGTGAGAGTCCGATTGTCAAATTCCTAACATCAAGAGGACACCAAATAAAAGCATTTCTGTTGTCTTCAAATACTTCCTCAAGCTAAATCTGTAAATTGGTTCTTTCATTGGTTCCTACCATGCCCATGAAATGTACACAACCACAGTAATTTTCAGCCACTCACTATCAAATATTAACAAACCATTGTTTTTAATAGCGGATAGCTGCAACATTAATCGATTTGCGTATCAGATTCTCGTATATTTGAGAAAATTTAAATTGATATATTTCAATGATTGAAAGACCCAAGAGCGAGTATTGGCATATCGTAGGTAGGAGTCCATTAAAAATTGAAAGGTTCTACAGTGAACAATGATTTCTATGGGGAGCGTTCTATAAAACGCAAAAAGAAATCTATTTTAAGGAGGTTCATAAAATGAAACACCAGCAAAATACATGTCTTTAAACTAAAAATTCTCACTTCATTTAGATCGTTCATTTAAAACGTATTCAATGATCTGAACCCCTCTTCTTTTGGGAAATTGATTAGAGGAGAGCAAAATTCGCACCTAAAATGCACGACATAAACTTTATTCCTCCTGCTTTCCTCCTTTTCTTTTTCTCCTCCTTAAAGTCCTCTCCTTGATGCTAGATACCTCTTTATCGGTTATGCGTAGACAATCTACGGACTTTCCAGGTGAGGGGGGGGGGCGGTTGGAGGGCGAGAAAAATATTGATTGGCTATGATGGCTTATCTCAGGTGCAGCGAGCCCATTATATGTTGGAATTGCACTTAAAGTATTAATAAATTTTTATAGCTGGAAATACAGATACGGTCTTAATTTGAATAAAACACATTTTAGTGAAAGTCAAGAATTAAAAAATATTTACAGTTTAATAATTATTTACAGAAATATAAATGTATACAAATTTGCGTATGGCTTCCGATGATTTATCAACAGGGCCTCAACTCATGTCATCTTCTAGCTATTAAATGCGTGTCTTGTTCGGAAGAAGTTTACAAACAATGGTTTTCCTAAGTTGTACTTATCTGCGAAGGCTTTGCTGGAAAAATTCGTCCGAAGAGAACCGTCTTCCCTGAGGAAAGAAAATTTTAAAAGTTACAACAATGTAATGATTTGATAGTTCACCTAATGAATGGGAGGTTAAATTTATTGATACTTTGAAAAAGAGTAGATAGGAGTACGGAGACGGCTTGCGTAATCCTATAATCATTTGCCATAATCTCGCGTACCTAATTTGAGCTTTTAATAAAACGAGAAGAAACTCCATTAAACGTATACCAGACAATTGATTGGACGGGCTTAACTGAAACTAGGCTCTTTAGATCAGACGTTATCTAATTTCCTATGATTATATAAACAAAGAACTAAGCGACACTGAAGCTTAAAATTTTGTGCGTGTGTATTTTATAATCTAGGACAAATTCACTGAGAGTTAAGTGGTTTAGTTCTCTGTTAAAAAATAAAACAAGAGAAGATTTGAAGCAACGTTTGATGCAGTTAGACTGATTTCAGTTTAATCTGTCCGATTCTTTAACAAAAAAGTAACATAATCAAAATTACAGCTCGTCAGTCTATGGTTTGTGCTACAACTAAAAATGTAAAGCATATACAATGCACGCACTGTTGAATAACAACTTCAACACTATCAAAATCGCAGATATAAAGGCATACTTTGAGGGAAAACTATTGTTTGAATGATTTTTTTTTTTTTTTTTTTAAATCCAATTTTACTAGAATGCAGCTGCAAGTTTTTGGTACATTCGTAGCAAGAATGATACCTCTTTAAAAACGCTGTCAGAGTGACATCTTTAAAATTCCATGAGATAAATATGAAAAATATACCATCGGAACTGATACTTCTTGCCCACTGTAAATGTCAAATAAAGAATGTGAGGGGACGGCAACTTTCAAAAAATCACTTTTATGTAAATTTGAAATTTAAAAATCACTATAAATAGGAAATACCTATACATATATGCATAGAAAAAATATTTAAAACTTGAGCGGATGTCTACTTACTTAGCTGATATTTTTTTCTCCTTGAATTGTATTTTATCAGGTTGTCTATACACTAAAAATACGTATCGAAGTAAACCTAGAAAAAATTGGAATAAGTTTAACTAAATTCATGGTTGTATNAGCAACGGAACGATTCTAATATCATGGGGAACTCCGTTCCCATGACAATACCTATACATATATGCATAGAAAAAATATTTAAAACTTGAGCGGATGTCTACTTACTTAGCTGATATTTTTTTCTCCTTGAATTGTATTTTATCAGGTTGTCTATACACTAAAAATACGTATCGAAGTAAACCTAGAAAAAATTGGAATAAGTTTAACTAAATTCATGGTTGTATTTTCTTCCGAGGATTTTGTTTGACTGCGAAGAACTGATCCTCAAGGGATCATTTTTATTTATTTATTTATTTGTGTTTTTTTTTCCTGCTGTTTTTGGTTGACAATTGCCCCAATTTATCGAGATCAGAGCGCTGGAGACCGCATTTCTCCTCCATTCAAGCTATGGACCATTTTGAGTTAAAGTGTTGCATTCCTGATTTCAATGATAATTGAAATGCGCTGAACTGCTACTGAAATGGGTTTGGTTAGGTCATGCAACTAAACCAACTGCGCGGTAGAATGTTTAGTATCGAGCAGACATGAAGGCGCTATAACTTGAGACACAGCGGACTACCAGGCTACCTCCATAGCACGCGGATCAGGATTTTCAGTCATGCATTTTCAAAGATAGACTTTCAAAATTTTGCTGAAGCTACATAAGTCGCATAAACGTAAAATACGAGTATTCACATGAAATTTAAAACTACCTTCTTTCTCAAGTACAAGCCTGATGATCCGGAAGTGCTCATTTGTGTTCAAGATCGACGAAATTACATACTTTGATAAATGCACACCGTCTGTCAACCTTATGCTCACGTTGATCTATTTGAATTTGACATTAATAGTGTTAAACAAAAAGTTTCTCAAACGAACCTTTGCCCTCCGGTGGATCTGGGCCCATGTATTCAGTCAAAAACTCTCCCCCAAGAAATTCATAATCTCTTATGTTTCCAACGATCCAAAATTGTTTTTCTCCGTACGATGTTTGTGCCTTCAATTTTTCATCGATACCTGAAATAAAATTATCTATTTTACTTGTCTAATATATACTTAACAAATATCTTAAATTTCTCGTGGGTAAATTATGCATTAAAGAGATTCTCCGCAATGACTGCATGCACAACAAGGAATGGCTCGGCTATGAAAATGACATGTGTAAAAAATGACGCAGGTGGTGCAATCATAAAACTTACCTTAATTTTCTCGGTGTGGTCGTATAAAAATTAAATTAAGTTTGTCTTAGGCATTTGAAGAGCTAAAACCTTTAAAGAGCATACAATGTTTTGGTTCTTGTTCTAATTTAGTATTAAGAATTTATTTTCAGTTGTGCATGCTTGCATCGTGCTGCGAAGAAATGCGTAGATTATTTAGAACAGATGTTTCTTAGTTTCCCTCGTTCAAAAGCCATACAAGCTACGCAATTTTAAATGTGACGCGTATACTAGCTTTTTAACAATGAAGAATGACTTACTTTCCGGCCAGGTTGGCCTAGTGGTCAGCGCGTCTGACTCTAGGTCAATAGGTCCTGGGTTCGAATTCCGGTGGTGGCGTCTAATTTTCACGGAATTGACGAGTAGATCTGCTGAAACAGATTCTCCTCGGCCCTAATTCCTGAAAATTGGAAAAGCCTGGAGCATGGAGATCCCAAGATGTCTACGGACATTGTCTAAAGTTGGCTGAAGCTGCTAGACACGAATCCATTAAACCAGCAGAAAAAAAGTTCCTACTTCCAGACCGATAAGTCGCTAAAAAATGGAATTTTTCGATTTTGAAGTTAAGGAGCTTTGGGTTAGGTAATGGTGGCGGTTGAATGCAGGTAGCTCGGTGGAGATAGGTATTCATGGAGCAAATTCTGCTTACCCACCATTATCATACTGAGAAATGTATCATTAGGATTTTTAGACTCTAACCAGAAAGGTTCCTCCTTTGTGATTTTCGGGTCAATAATTTCATCCCCGAAATTTGCCTCTGTGCCTGTCCATCCACCACCCAATCACCCCTAAAAAAACATAAATCGAAAAAAAATAACGCCAAAGAACCTAAAGCGGCAATACCTCGAAAAAGTCTAATTACCTGTAAATATCATCGTGTAGAACTCCGTTTCATTTGAATTCCAACACGCCCAAAAGGGCTCTCTTTTTGTAATAGTCGAATTAATTTCATTTCCGAAGAGCGGTTCAAGGCCCTCAATCCACTCCACCTAAAAATGATTCAAATAAATTCAAAGTATGTTATGGGTGATATTCCTTTTATTTTTATTTATTTTTTATGTTATTTCAAACTCGTAAAGTTGAAGTTACTTAACTTGAGAGAGTACCTTGAAACTGTACTTTAAGAATGATTCGAGTCACACCTCTGGGGAATTGAAATAAATCCTTGAGAGAATATTACATGATCAGCAATTCTTCAGCATTCAAAGTCAACATGTTGGTCCCTCAAGTTAACTTTGTATATGTCGCAGGCAATTTACAATCGCCGGCAATTTACAAGCCAGCGGTGAATAAATATAGAAAATCATAAAATTCAAAAATAAAAGAACAAGATTAGAGTGCTGATTACGTTGCCTATACTGTGAATAGACACTTTTACATTCTGAAAAACATGACAGAAATATGCACACTTAGAAGAGCGTGCAGTGAACTCTGTGACATTAGTTAGGTTAAGATCGGACAAGCAACTAAACTAACATCGTGACAAAGCGTAGAGTATCACAAAAATGAAGGCGCTTCAAGCCGAGGTCATACTTTTGAAGGCCATAACCCTTAAAAATTGCATTGTGCCGATGCGCATTATTGCGATTTATTGGAACAACATGTGAACCGCTTGCAAATTGCCGGCGATTGCTAACTGCCTGCGACATATACATTGCAAAGTTTTGAGTAAACAAAACTTAAGAGTGGTATTTTGTACAGGAAATTAGATGACCGTAGAATTTTTTAAAGGTTAAATTTAAAATGTTTCTACTTTCCATTGAATTCAATTTATGTTTAACACTGAGAGCAATATTTCAACCAGGCGTTATTAAGAAAACTAACTTACCTGAACCGCCTCCTTTGGAGCCTCATCCAAGAGGTCAGGGATAATTTTCCAACGTTCGAGATCCTTTTCAATATCATTCGGATCTCTCAAGAGAACGTCAAACGCCGGGTACCATGTTGACGTTAATGGCACCTCTGTTAATTTAACTAACCTTATTGTCAGGAATAACCACACAAATGTAATGTGCAGCTTCATCACTGCTGTTTTTACAACCTATCAACCACCCGTCATATTTGACTCCGAAACATTCGTGGTGGTTATGAGAAAGCAACGGTATATCAGCCGCTCATCACAGTAATTGTGAACAGAATAGTTCCTCAATCGGATTTTTTATTCATCAAACCCACGCTGGCTTCTATCTCCGTATTCAATCACCAATTCTAGTCATAACTAATTATGAAATTCTGTTTAGAGGTTTTTACTATTTGTAGCACCAAACATTTGGAAATAAATATTAAGAATGTCCTGTATGCTCACAACTTTTGAAACAAAAAACAAAAAAGCACGAAAAATATACTATTTTTAAATGCTACAAAATGAGGAGAGCCTTGGATTTGATGGCTTACTTGCCATTTAGTAAATAATAAAGAACACAATACATGTTCTAGGTGTGCAGTTAAGCATGACTTTGCTGCTAAATTCAAAGTTGACTCACGATTTTAGACAGGGCCAGATTTTCGTTATTGCCGCCCATGGGCCGCCTGTATTTTGCCGCCCCCTTCTCATTCGTTTTGAAACATCAATAAAAACCATCAAGTGAACGTGCCAGCGGGGGAGGGGTGCATAAGACGCGTTTACTCGTGTTGAACACATTTTTCGGGAAAGTCCTGTAAACACTACGAGCAAAAGGTCACGGAACTTTGCGCGAAAGTCAAGTTTCGAACCTAATGGACAAGGCCTTACATTCATAAGAAATGAACAAAAAAATTATGAAAGAACAAACACAAAATTTTGTTTAATGATTTTAACTTCCTTCGCCGCGCCCTGCCGACCGCACCGCGTTTGGCGCAATGCGTGAAGAATTCACGCAGTCTTGTAGGCGCCATGCGTTTCACGCTGACCGCACTGTGTCTGGCGCAATGCGTGAAGTATTCATGCATTCTTGTAGGCGCTATTCGTTTCACGCTGACCACAATAACCGCACTGTGTTTGATGCAACGCGTGAAGTATTCGTGCAGTCCTGTAGGCGCTAATATGTGTTACATGCCGGTTGCCGCGCCGAGGGCTTCTCCTTTTCATCTCAAGTCTTCGTCATCATTTCTCCTTAAGTCGCGCCGTTCCAGGCCAAATTGTGTGTTTGGTTTCTCTCTTAACTCGACTAATTATAGGTGCTGTCTCTTGTATCACCGAAAGACGACAAAATTAGAAATTACTATACTCTCAGGAAATGAGAGATTTTGCAGCCTTCTCTCGTTTGTAATTTTTTTTTCTAAATCCGATTTTTTTTATATACCTACATTTCATTTAAAAAAATTACAAAATTTGCTGCCCCCTAGATTTGCCGCCATGGGCCGCGGCCTATGTGGACATCCCCTTAATCCGGCCCTGATTTAAGAACTCTTTGGCTCCGGCGAGATCGATTTTCTCTTTGGAAAAGCGAACACCTCTTTTCGTGGGGACCTTTTTTTTTGAATGTTCGTACGCAATCAAAATCATGCGATACGTTCTGCGGATTTTGGAGGAGAATAAGAGCGCAGTTAGTTCTGATTGCGTAAATAGCCTTGCACGTTAAATTAACATAAATTATACGTAAGAAAAATTAAGCATAAATAGGAGGATAATTGAAATCGTGTAGTAAAAAACATAGCAAAACAAAATAGGGAAAATAATTAAAATTTTGACAAGATAAAATATATTTTCAAAAGATTACTAAATTTTAAAAATATTCGAAAACCCACAATAAATAAATTACGTTATTAAAATGAGGTAAAATATGATTTCAAAAGGTAATTAAATTTCGAAGGATTTGACAACTCCTAAAAAATGTGAAAGTATGCTACTGGGAATACTGGAATGAGTGAAATTCAATCTCTTACGAGGTAAATTTGAGATACAAAAGATTATTAAATGTGAAGGGATTCATAAGAAATATGGAAACGATGTCACTAGAGTGAATGTGAAAAAATAACATTTTTAAGAGGTAAAATATATTTATGAGGTTACTTACAACATTTAAAACCGACTCACCTTAGTTAGGTCGCTTTTTAAAGTTATAGGTGCGTTGCTATTAACAATGCGCGGGAAAGTTAAACATAAAATGAGTCAATCATCAATTACAATAACCAATTATTTTACTTTCAATGTAATAAATCCGCCACAAGAAACGTAATCGCCAGTGCTGATTGGACAAAAAGCAAAACTCATAACGTGCTCAACATTTCTTGTCCAATTGTTTCCCACTGCTCTGAAGGACAAACTGGCTGAACATTGGTCAATTAAATCACTGCAAGTATTTAATCACGCGTTAGTTTTACCATATAGTGGCATGGCGTGCTTTGCGATTTATCGATTTATCTGCCATTGAAACTTATAAGAAAGGATCGATAAACAGGGTATTCGCAACGAACGCCTTAATAAGCGATTCCTTACCATAGCTTAAAATGGGAAAATATTAATAATCGATCATTCACAAATCGCCACTGTCACCATATAAGATTTCCTGTGTCCGTATAGGTAGGTAAGTTTGGGTCTATAATTCTCGGTCGCCGTGTCGTCGTGGTTGTTGTCGTCAGTCGGAACTTACCCTCACAAATAAAAAAATTTACAGCGATCGGTCCGTCCAGGTTATATTTTTTAGCAAACTTTTTGACGGAAAACTTTCCCCTTTTTTCATCAATCCGCCTGAAAAAAAAGAAAAAACAAACAAACAGAAAAAACTATTGCGTGCAAACAAAACTGCATAGATGTTACTTGTTCTCCAGCTAATGAGCCAACGTTAAGTTAACTGAGATCATGCGTTGAAAAAATCTGTCCAAATTTATAAAAAAGCCTACGGCATTAAGGTCCTCGGTAAACTTTCGGATGTTTTTTTTCTTCTTTTAAATATTATCTATTCTCTATTATTTCACAAGGCCAAAATATCTCGGAGTCTCAAAACAGCTGAAAGTTTAAATATTTGTCGTGAGAGTAATATCAATTAGAAGAAATTTCATTTGGCACACATACTGTATTGGAGNGGGGGGGGGGGGGGGTGGTTGCTGTCGGATTTGCTATTTGTATGAGTGGAAAGTCACGCTACCATCGGTATTGCATCTGAACAACATTTTGCAGTAAGAAACTACTGTTTCTAGCTCATTTAAAAAACAACATATGTGCCATTAGATTCCCTGTGCAGGTCGATGATCTCACAGATGAGCCAGAAATATAATAGTAGTACGTGGTTGCAAAATTTAGCCCATTCGTAGTTCGCCTCAGAGCCGCGGTAACACTCGTTATTAAATTTTCTTCCTTCAAATATAACGTGATATTCAGTGTATTGAAAAACTTACTTTGGAGGTAATTGAAACTCTCTGAACAGTTTATATCTTCTATATTTTTGCTTGTACACGAGGAAAACATATCGGTGCAACCCTGTAAAAAAAAAAAACCGAAGAACGCTTACGGTCTCAACTGTAAATTGAATCTATTTTTCATGGTAGAAATTTTGATTTTAATGATTTTTTTAATTAAAAAATTACAAGTATTATGGAGCAATCGAGGATGATCCCCACTGAAAAATATCACAATTGCACTACATTTTACAAATTGGAACTACAAAATCTCGCTCAGTTTATAAATAACACACGTCCCTGGTAAAAATTGGCGATAGGAGCTGCGTTTCAAAATACCATAGGAATTCTTATAGCCGGCTAAAGAAGGCTACAGAAAATCATATAGCTGGCTGTAGAGTGCGGAGAAAATCTTACGGCCGGGCTATACGAAGCGATAAAAAATTATGCAGACGTGCTATACTTCCTATAGCCGGGCTTTACACTTTATCGCCTGGCTGTTGCTTTTTCACCATCCGCTATAAAGGGCTATAAGAAATTGTGTAGAAATTTGTGTGCTTTGTAAACCCTTAAGTTTGCATGGAATCACCTTAATATTTACAAAACGCACATTATATTTTCCTTTACTACATATTTTTTTCATCAATTAAAATGAGAATAATCCATACAGAGTGTGCAAACATTTCAAAGTCATGGAGTTGAAAAACGCTGACTCCACGAGATTTAATATTAGAGCCTAACAAAGCGGAGCGGCGGCGCACTGGCGCCTACAAACCTAACAGGGATACTTCACGCATTGCGCAATGCGTGAAGTATCCACTTAGGTTTGTAGGCGCCAATGCGCGTTCTACGCTGGCTGCCCGCCCGCCGCGCCGCAGTGTACCACGGCGCTCGAAGCAACTATTTCACACCAGAGGTATTGCACAGTATCATACGAGATTGGAGGCGCTCCAACATATTAGGAATAGCAGGCATCCTTCAAAAGTACGGAGCTTTCCTCGCAAAATAAATTAAGATACTACGGCCCAAAAAGAGAGCGGTAGTCCAAAAACTCACTAAGTCCTACACGGAAAAAAATAGGTTGTCTCTAACAGCTAATGCGGTATGGTTGAAAAGTAAAAAGCCGTGAGAACCAACAAATATAGTTGGATTCACCAGCCACGTTGACCGATGTGACCAAGCACGAATCCAATTTACCTATACGCCTAAATTAAATCCGACTGTTGCATCTTTTAGTGGTGCAACCAGCAATGTATGTTATCATACCCTCACAAGTAGGCCAAGCCAGCAAGAATCTTACGGCGGATGTCACTGTGGCTGAGATGGACGGATTAACCATCTTGACAAAGCTAAACTGGCCATCACAAAGGCGACCCAACCATCAGGTACTGTCAGCGCGGTGAGAGTTCCCGCCTGGCTAAGCTGCGGTCCGCCATTTTTCCTTTGTCACTCAGTTACGAATTCATCACGTTGTTGTTCGGAGTCTGTGCGCTTGGCTTTATTTATCTATATTAATCCATGTGAATTTACGCGTAATTTGCCCAAATTCGTGTTCGAATCGTTTCTACAGCTACCGTCTTCTCTTTAAATCTATCTGTTTTAACTTTCCACGCATATTTTCCGAGATTTCCTAGTTACCTGTATCGACCACATTTTGGAGGTTATAAGAGTTGCTGCGATGAATCTGGCTAGCAAAATGTGTGAATTCTGAAAACTTGAAGGGCGTTTCGCAAAATTGTTCTGTTATTTAGTGAGTGTCGGTTCTGTATAAAGTCATTGCGAAAGCGGGAAGATACGGAAGTCCCTTGAAAATGGTAGACCAGTGATTATTGAATACTTCGTTCGTATATCTATTTGTGTTAAAATTTTAGAGAATCAAAATACTCTGATGCAGAGCAAAATTTTCCTGGGATATTTGTTGAATATAAGCTTTAATCAAAATTTGACAGTTTCTGTCCCACCGTGAACTGTGGCAATTGGTACTGCGTGTAGTTTATTTTTTTAGGTATATTTTGAACTATCTATCTACTTATTATGAAATCAAAAATTTTGTGAAACTGATTTAGTCTGTAAATGATTCTTTGACGGTAAAAACAAGTTTCGTTTTGGTATCATTTACTTGAAATCGGTGAAGCAATTATCT